CGGGCTGCATTGGAATGAAGCCAGCCGGCGCCATTTTTAAATGCCGGCTAGTTCGGACTCCGTGCCGCGCGGCTACATGAGGCACGGACTAGCTAGTTCGGATTAGGCTTCCTAATCCGAACTAGCTGTACACCTCGTTCCATGAGGCGTACAGCTAGCTCGGATTAGAAGCCTAATCCGAATTAGCTAGTCCGTGCCACGTGTAGCCGCGCGGCACGGAGTCTGAACTAGCCAGCATTTAAAAATGGCGCCGGCCGGCTTCATGCAAATGAAGCCCGGGAAATTCAAATCCCGGGCTTCATTTGCAAGTGCGGATGACTACATTACCCCTGCTAGTTCGAACTAGTGGGGTAGTGTAAACATACCCTAAGTTATTTCGAAATAACAGTTGTAGTGTAGACATACCCAAAGAGATTACAACCTTTGGTATCCCAAAATAGCTACCCCGCATCTTAACGAACCGTCCATTATTTTGAAATATTTTTTGAAATTACGGGTGCGCTATTTCAGCTTCCCTGTAACTCTTGCTCCACGAGGGTTAAGGGATGTCTAAAAAATAGTGCGTTATTTTGAAATTTGGAGCTGTATAGATGCTCCAAATTTTGGAATAAGCTAGTTTGAAATAGAATCAAAATAAGATACACAATTTGCGTAGTGAAAATTGCGTATCTTATTTCGAGTTTAGGGTAGACACCCTCACAGAATTGTTTATAATGCTGAACACAAGCTTGAATTCTGGGATGGTTTTAATGCTGCTATAGATATTATAAACAAAAGATCTGACAATTTATCACACCCTCAGAACTCCTTGGAGGCACAGCAGCTTTTTAATTGTTACCCTAAACCACTCTGATTTTGTAGTCCTACGCTTCATAACACACTGTGCATTGGTACGAACACAGGATTTTCCAGACTGCACAGCATAACAGATTTTAATGTGGATCCTCCAATTTATTTGTGGAACTCAGTTTGAAAGAAAATTGCTTGCACCAGTTTGCTTTGCATGTCAGCCTGGAAGTGCATGTTAGCACTCCTTACTATGTAAAAACTGAACTGCAGATGAAAACAAAGGGGCTACTGTTCCTGTCTAGTCAAGTGAGCACAGGAGGAGTCAGATTCGGCAAATCTGTGAAAGGTCAATGGGAGCTGGAGATTATTCCCCCTCCCCCAAATCCAACAAGAAGACTTTCTGCCTCAGTTCTGCGAAGTCAGGGCTCTGCTAGGCAGTGCCAGGAGTGTTGCCAGGGAGTAGCTAATTCTGTAATGTACTGCTTCATAGATCCCAGATAGCCAGTGCTGCTCTTGGAAGCATTCACCCCCACAGGGTCCTGTTCATGGCTAGTACTGCATAGCCACGAGAAAAGGTAGCAAATGACAAAATGGCTCTCAGGCTGCCAGGGTGAAGGAAGAGTCCAAAATATGTCATGGAGGGCGCAGGTCCTTTCTCTAGAGCCATGGTGTCCAACACACTAGCCACATGTGGCTATTTGGCTGGTTGAGCATGGTTAGTTGGCTATAGCAGTAACCACTACAGTGGCTGCTGCTTCAGAACTGGTTGGAAAGTTCCAAGTTCTATGGGGTTCGGAGCAGAGCTCCTCAAGTGACTGCCAATGTGGTGGCTCATACCCCTGGACCCCTATCCCTAGTTTTCTCCCATTCCAATGGGAACCTCCATCCAACAAACACAGAAGTAGCCGTGAAAGCACAATAGTGAATCACATAAACAAACAGATTCTCATTTTATACTACAGCCCATTTACACAGCTCTGATAGATCAGTGACATTCACGCCCATTTTAGCCCTCCTAGCCACCCCTTTATGCTGCCAGCATGGTATAAAAGGGCTTTATGTAAATTATATCAGGACTACTGTGTGTAATGATGACATGCTCTACTTAGTTTAAATTAGTTCAGAGAAGAAGTCCAGGAACAAGTGCATAATGTAGAGTGGATGATCTTCAAATCCAACCTTTGTAATGTCTCAGATCCATCTTTGCTGGAGTATGGATATACAGTAATCACCAGTATCAGTAGGATTCCTATCCCAGATCCACTCTATCCACACATTTCATTTACTTGGTATTTACAAGGTTTGGACAACTTAATCTGTGAGCCAAGTTCCTGCATGGCAATTCTTTTACTCCTAGGGGGGTGTCTCCAACTCACAGGATGATCTTCAGACTCTAATAGTTGATTTAGATGCTTTTGCAGTTAAGACATTAAGAAGAATGACGACTGGTGGATTTCCTGCTGCTATCCCACAATTCCTGTAGGACAGGGGAATCTTTTTTGGGTTGGGGCCACTGACACACAAAAAAATCAGTTGGGTGCAAAAATCTCACAGATTTGGTCCCAACTGAGAAGCAGAAAAAAAAGACATTCACCTCGCTACCCTCGAGCTCCATCCCAGAGACTAGAGGGACTGTGGATAGCAGATTTTTTAGGGCTATAGGGTGGGCCCCCAAAAATGAGAGGTTCAGTGTATAGAAGGAAGCTGCCAGGGAGTGGGCTGGGGATGTGAGGTTTGGCAGGAGGTAGGGTGCAAGAGTGGACTGGGGTGGAGGGCCTGGATGGGAGGCAGGGTGCAGGAGAGGAGTTTGGAAGGGGGGTGCTGGCTAGGGGTTTGGAGTCTAGAAGAGAGGTAGAAGAGCACGCTGGGGTGGGGAGTTTGGAAGGGGGCATGCAGGAGCAGGGTGGAAGCTATAGGTGGGAGGGAGGGTATGGGAGCATGCTAGAGGTAGGGAGGTCTAGAAGGGGAGTGAGGAGTGGGAGAGGGGCATGGGCACCTACCTGGTGCAGCTCGTGAGGGGGTGGGAGAAAGCAGGTAGCTTTGTGTGGCTCTGAGCGCTGTAGGGCACCACTCCCTGCTGCTCCCATTGATCGTGATTCAGAAGCACTGCTGTGAACATGCAGAGCCACTTTCCCCTGCCAGGCAGAGCCTGTGGCCTGGATCTGACTTGCTTGGATTGGGCCTGGGAGGCTCGGGGCTTTCCCGCCCTGCCCTCTCATAGCGGGGAGCCAGCACTAGTGCTCCAGCCATGGCACCCTCCAGGTGGCTGGAGTGCCAGTGCTGGCTTGCACCCCTGCAGGGGGAAGAGGGGCGGAGGAGCCCCGAGCCTTGTGAGCTGGGTCAAAGCAAGTCACAGGCCAGATCCAGCCCACATACCAGAGGTTCCCAACCCCTGCTGTAGGACTTCACTTAATCCCAATTTTCTCTTCGTATGGATACTTATATTTCCTTCCTCAAACCTTTAGTCTGTCTCGACTACTCAATTGTAATCACTTTGGTGTAGATTCCGTTTCTTAGTATGTGTATGTACAGCGCCTTGCACAATGGAACACCAAACAACAGCTGGGGAGCTGGGGTGCTACCGCAGTAACAACAATGATCATGAGTAGCAACATGTACAACTCCTGCTTAGAATACAGGAGATTCAACAAGATAGATGAAGGATTTTGCTTTCTAAACATTTAGAGATATTTTTAAACTGCACCAGAAATATGCTTATAGAGTGGACTGGATTGTTTCTCTCAGATTTTAGGAAGGGAACAGATGTAACAATTTTCTATAATTTGGTTAAGTGCAGATGCTGAAATGGGGCATTCACAATAAAATATATGCAGTGTATGTAATTTCAGCTGGCTCTTCTGGTGTTTTAAAGTAAAAATGTGTACCTGCAAGCTGTTTTATGGTTTCTCAGTCATAATTATCTCTGTTACACAGACTGCAACAGCTACAACTCGTTCTTCATGTGCAAGCTTTCTAACAATGTCTTGACAATTTTGTGAATTTTGCAAGGCACAGTTTTCTCCTTTCGTTTTGCTCAGAAACCTGTTAAATCGTTTAATTTCTCTTTGCAGTAAATTTATGAAGTAACCAAAACAAAAGATGGTAACAGCTGATAATCTATATGGAAAGCTTTTGTACAAAACTAGAAAAAGGACCACTTTTAGAGTCTTGAGACTTTAACAACTTTAGCTGCAAGAGTCTGGTTAGACATCAGAAAGAGAGAATTAATTTTATTACAGTATCATTATTGTATTGTGACTAGAAGGAGGCTGGAAATGAGGGCTAAATTCTTAACAGCTGATGCCTGGTGCCTTCACTTGAAAAAGTCTGTTCAGATGCCTGTGGCATTTCCCAAGGGACATGGGACTTGATGAGTGATGGAGAATCTAAAGCTCCAGATATTTATTACAGCACTGCTGGAACATAAGTGATTTTGACTAGGTCAATAACTAGATCAGGACCATTCACTAACTACTGCATCATTTGATATCATAACTCAAAATCTGTGCATGTTCTGTTTTAATGTGGTGTACATACCATTTGGGTTCCATTGGTCTTCTCCTCCCAAAACGAACAAGAAATTTTCTAATTCCACAACACAGTGATGGGCACTATTATATGGCATAACTGTAAATAAAACAAAATATTCTTTATAATTCTCTATCTTAGCATGCTGATTATTTTAAAATAGTTACTTTAGCAAAGGTACAAAACATGATTGTACAAAGTCTGGAAATGGATAAGAAGGTAATACATTGCTACAAATATGCATATGTTTAGTGAATTAGCAGCAGCCAAAATCCAACTGTTTAACAATAATTTCACATAAAAGTATTTTACAAATTATTGAAGAATAACTATGTTACGTGAATTATGCTTACTAAGACCACACCTATCTGACTAACATCTATGAGTAATTGAAAAAGAACAGACATGCAAAAAATGGGTCAAGATGTCTGATATTTCTCTGGAAAATAAAACAGAAAAATGCTAGGATACATTAAAAAAAACCCTCATCCTAGTTTTGTTCTGCTGGCAATGCTTCCACAGCAAGAGTCAGTGTGTTCAGTAGCTTTCTATTACACAGCAATGAACAAGCTGCATTTCCATACAGTTTTAAGTTTTTAAATTAAGGTCCTGCTGATTTAATGCTTTCTCCAAATGTATACGCTTAATTTCCTGTACAATGTCATTAGCAGCACAACCACACATTTTCTATTCATCTAATCAGGAAGCTCTTCATTAACAAAGATCAAAACTGTGATATTAGGTTTGCAATATCCTTTTTTGGAAGTGATTTTAGGATTGTTATTATAGACCTGGCTAAAACCATCAAGACTATTTTTCTGTGTATTTACATATACCACAGCAAGAGCTAAGGTACAAAAAACAGACTGCTTCTGTACCATACTGTGTACGGATCTGTGCTGTGCAGCACTATTATAATATCATATGGTAAATGTAAACTTACATGGTATTAGTTATCATACCACATGCAGTAGTTTTGGCCCACTGACACCAGTAGGAAAAATGATGTCCTTGTTCAGCTCATCATATGGGCACCTTAAATCTAGGTGAGGACAAATGGGGAGGTGATGTGCATGTACAGGCAGGGAACTTATTGCTTGACACGGATCAACAGAGCACTTAGGAAATCAGTGCAGTGGGAAATCAATATGACTCAGGGCCAGCTCTTACTTTGTGCTCTTTTGCCAATGCCAAAAAAAAAGAGCAGCCTATCTCACACTTGGATTATTTTGGGTGATATATCTCCCATTTCATTTGTTTTATTATCTTTTATTTTTCTCAGAATGCAGTTGTGCAGTATAGCATATGCAAATAATAATAAGAAGAAATATGCATAGCTTTGTTATTTAGGACACATTTTCTTAAAGATCAAGTGGGCTCATTTAAGCTCCTTACTGAAGTTTTTGCAAGGTAGTGATAAATAAGCAAAGGTGCATTTTTAGTTTTTAGTGAAGGTCGAATATTATTTTCATAGTCTGTGGTCTTACAAGCAGCAATTCTTAAATTAGGCAGCCTGGATTAGTGGAAATGCATTAATTAAGGTTATTTGTTAATGATAATATTTATACAACCATGAAGTAACTGGAACTAGCCACTCTATAAGGCTTTTTACTATATACAGGTTGCTAGCATGCTGAATTAATTTAAACTCCAGAGGCTTTGGTATCTTATTAATAAATGCAGCGTGTTTTTCCCAACTGCAAATTATATTTTCCTCATTCTTTAAATCTCAGTCATTTCCCCATTTTATAAAACTTACCTTATAAACTGGACCTTAGCCATTTTAATGTAGCTTGCATTGCAAGATTAGAGTGTATCCACAGGACAATAATGTTTCTTCCCCCACATGCCAATAAGGGACTCTCCAGCGACAGGATGCAGAGCCATCAACTATTACCCACACAGCTACTCTGTTGTTTTGTAAATTAAGGATAAAGCCAATGTCTTGCACACATAAGCAAGCTCTCTCTTGTTCTCCTTTAGTCAATTTCTGAAAGATCTTGCATTTCCCAAAAAACAAAATTCACGGGGCACATCACAAACAAATATTTGTTACCTTTTGTGTTTGCATTGCTTTGTTTACCCTCCCCCCAATTGGTACAAACAGAGGGTCAATAGAGGACGAAATTATATTTTAATTTTTTCAGCCACCGTCATGAACATAAATTATCATAGTGATAGAAATATAGCCGTGTTAGTCTGAATCTGCAAAAGCGACGAGGAGTCTGTGGCACCTTATAGACTAACTGAAGTGTAGGACATAAGCTTTCATGGGCAAAGACCCACTTTGTCAGATTTACTCTCTAATGTACAGTTCCTTGGGGCAACTTTTGGTAGCATATGCAAAGAACGTCAGTTTACAATAACATTAAAGCTAGTCAGATGCTAACTAGGGAAATCAAGAAAAAATCATGTATTCGAGACCCCCATGTTAATGAAAACTAAAGGCTTAATCCTGCCCTCACTGAACTAAATGGCAAAATTCTGACTTAATTGGTGCAGGATTGGACCTTAATGACCCAAATCTTTAGTTGTTGCTCAGGTACAACTCCTAACAAAGTTAGTCAGAAGTTTATCTAAGAGCTGAAGTACTGGGCCTAAAGAAAGAGGTGACTATGACATGAGTATCTTAGCTTTGTCCTTAGTTTCCTGTAACATTATAGGCAAATTTTGCGCTCAGTGTTATATGAATCTCGATAGTGATATTGTCCCCTGCAAGCTTCCAGGAAGGCAGAGTGTCTGCTAGTATCAGAGAGTTACTTCTTGCCCTGAAAATGCAGTATCCTCAAAACTACATTCTTAACACGTAAGCATTTTCAGTGTCCTTAGAATACTAGAACTGGAAGGGACCTTGAGAGATCATCAAATCCAGTCCCCTGCACTTATGGCAAGACCAAGCATCATCTAGATCATCCCTGATAGATATTTATCTAACCTGCTCTTAAATATCTCCAATGATGGAGATTCCATAGCCTCCCTTGGCAATTTATTCCAGTGCTTAACCACCCTGACAGTTAGAAAGTTTTTCCTAATGTCCAATCTAAACCTCCCTTACCGTAATTTAAGACCACTGCTTCTCATCCTATCATCAGAGGTTAAGGAGAATAATTTTTCTCCCTCCTCTTTGTAACAAAACCCCCTTTTAGGTACTTGAAAACTGTTATCAAGTCCCCTCTCAGTCTTCTCTTTCCCAAACTAAATAAACCGAATTCTTTCAGTCTTCCTTCACAAATGATGCTTTTTAGATCTTTAATAATTTTTGTTGCTCTTCTCTGGTTGTTCTCCAATTTCTCCACATCTTTCCTGAAATGTAGTGACCAGAACTGGACATAATACTCCAGTGGAGGCCTAATCAGCGCAGAGTAGAGAAGAAGAATTCTGAATTAGCTGTAAATGAAAACTATGAGAATGTACAGATTTTGTGGCTCTTAAAGTGCCCTTTAAAAGAGAAAATCCTCTCGCTCTAAACTGCAACTTTAAAAAACCTGGTGTCTTAGTTTTGCACATAGTCTAACTTTTCATACCCTATAATCAAAATATATGGGTGGGACAAACCAAAAGATAAATTCAGGCTCTAATAGCAATGGTAGAATCTATTAATGTCATAAGTGTTACTAGGGTCTAATGGGGACAGAATTTGGCCCATAACATCATTTGCCCGTACAGATCAACGGTCTCATTAATTTAATCCCTTTGTCTCCTGATTTATTTTAATAACATGAATCTCAGACTCTCATTTTTAGATTTCAACTCAGGTGAACACCTGCTTGCCCCACGAAAAAGGTATTTGAAGTTTGTATGCCATGCTCAAACACAGCCCAGTGCGAGTTTTTAGCGTGTCAGTCAGTGAGTTAGAGGGAAAGGGTAAAGAGAAGCTAATCAGGATGAAATGAGATTAAAGGCTGTCTAATTTTACAGCAACTGTGATCCATCAGCCACTGTGAAAGTGACAGTGGAAATGAATGATGGAGACAGACAGGTGGGGCTGTACATTTCACTGATTTATCCTCAAATGCACTGGGCCTTATTTTATTGAGTGAACATGACCGCATTTATCATGACTGTCATCTAAACCCACTTCCCTCCATTTAAAAAGGTCACTTTACTAGGAAGGAGTAGGATAGAGGCACTTTCAAAACAGATTTAAAATCTAATAACACATGTTTATAAAGCCCTGTGCAAGAATTCTCAACTTTATTAAATGAACTAGTAGAGTTAAATGAAAAGGGGGGGGGGGGATAACTAAGTAAAAAAGAGGAAGGGCTCTGGTTATTAGAGGAATATGCTTAGATTCCAAGGTGATAAGTGCCTTAGAAATACTCTAGACAGACACACAAATACAAATTAGACAGAATAAGCATACATCACCTTTTCTAATCCTCCATCTCTTCAAAGCTTTTGGAGCCTAATATCTATCAACTGAGGAGCCACAGGACCAAATGTACAATACAGGAGGCTCAGCTGGCCTTAAGGGGTGAGTGGAAATTTATCAGGTACCTAGGCACCAAACTTTTTAGAGGTTTTTGCCTCTAAAACCCAATACCAAAACCCAATACCTTGAACTATATCCGAAAATGACCTGGACGTCAGTGGAGATAATTGTGGGATGAGCTGTCTGTGAAACACCCCACTAAACAAATGATCTGCTGCATTCTGTTTGAGCTGATGCTCTGGAATGCTCTTCCCCATGTAGGAGATATTCCAGTAATGTACACATATTATACACATAGTAATGTGTCCCAGGCAGAACTCAGTAGAATAGTCCAATTTTGAGATGACAAAAGGCATAGATAACTCTAGTTACTTCTACTTATAAAAAGAAAGGCCACAGCCTTATAGACAAGCACTAATAGCAAAAAGCACTTCTTGGCCACTGCTAACTGGCTATTCAGAGAGATATTCCAGTAATGTACACATATTATACACATAGTAATGTGTCCCAGGCAGAACTCAGTAGAATAGTCCAATTTTGAGATGACAAAAGGCATAGATAACTCTAGTTACTTCTACTTATAAAAAGAAAGGCCACAGCCTTATAGACAAGCACTAATAGCAAAAAGCACTTCTTGGCCACTGCTAACTGGCTATTCAGAAGCAGT